AATAAAATTTCGAACACGCTCCTACGTCCAAAATCACCATATGGAGCTGTTGGAATCATCAAAATTCTATTCCGGGGTCGTTTACACATAGGTCGACATCAAGCCAACCTTTTCAACTTATGTTTTAAACTTTGGAACTAAGTATTCCAATTCATTCTAAAATCTCATCGGACCCAAACCAATTACCCCGGCAAGTCACATAATAGTTATAAAGTACAGAATGAGCAGTAAATGGGAAAATATGGCTACAACCTTTAAAACGACTGGCCGGGTCGTTACAATTCTAGCTGTGTGTTTTCTTTCAAACATCTTTATTTTATTCACACCCTTATTTGTATTATTCTAGAAGCTCGTGTACTTATGATGGTATTTAGATATCTCGATTATTATGGATTATTCATTTTATTTCAGACTTTATTTCCGTATTTGTTTCTTTGTTATTTATTAATTTAAAAAATGTGTCAAAATGACTAATTATATTCTAACGTTGGCTTGCCTAGCAAGTGAAATGTTAGGTGTCATCACGGTCCCGAAAGTAAAAAATTCGGGTCGTGAAACATATCCACCAGATTAAGAGAATCAATAGTATGCTGGAAATCTCTAGTTTCTGCCTCAACCACTGGTTGTCCTCCAATTCTATCATCCAAGCATAAGGGAGTATTAAAATCTCCTGCTAGGTACCAAGGTCTAGTTATGTTTGTGCCAATGCTTTGCAAACCAGCCCATGGTGCTTTCCTTTCTTAAATAGTATTTCTCACATATATCACAATAAATTCACAGGAAAATAAAGAGTACCTATCCACCAAAAGACAATGGACAAACTAAATGTGTTTAACGGGCCGGATTGACCCGGTTCCGAACCGGCCTAGACCGGTATTAACCCGGACCGGCTCAGACCGGTGGTAGGGGGCCGTGTAGGGCTGGGTTTGGGGGGTTAGGAGGTTAGGACGTTTACATTTTCATTACCGATTAACCGGACCGGTTAAACCCGGTCAAGAAAAATTACTGTTGAACCGATTAACCGGCCCGACCCGGTTCAATAGTGATTTTCTGATTTTTTTTTTTTTTAAATTCATTTGACCGTTGGTAACGGTTCAATTTGACCATTTTTGCAAGAATAGCCCTTTTTGGGCAATTATTTTAAAAAATAATACTTTTAGTAATTACTAATTTAGCCTTTTGAAAAACTATAAATACACCCCCCTTCTTCTTCATTTCTTCACTCATCTCTCATTTCTCAAACTCAAATTCTCAATTCAAATTAAATCATGCCCCGTGATTCTAGAGTGCGCTCATATGTTTGGGAACACTTTGAGGTGGTAAAAGAAAATGAAGTTCACAAAGTAAAGTGCAAGAACTGTGGTCAAATCTTAAATCTTCGTCGAAAGTGGGAGGGCGCATGCTGTTTAAGGAGGCATATGAAGAGGTTTCTCGAGCGTCCTCCAGAAATTCATATTTAAGATTTTAAGTTGATTTGAGACAATTTGTGTTATTTTAAATTATTAGACGTATTATGCTTAATGTTTTAGTTTGTTAGATTAATTTGAAGTATTATTATGCAATGAAAATTTGAAATGAAACTATGAAAGCCTTTGAATTTAACATTCCAAAAGATGGCCAAGAAGATCATATTGATTATGAAGAACTTACTAAGGCAATGCAAAACCTTTGAAGTTCTAGATTTATATTTAATAATTAAACTTTGAATTTACTCTTTTTTCATTAATTTAGTTGTTAAATGTAAACTTTAATTTGCAAGTTTGAACTTGCAAATTATAAGTGCAATTTTTTTTTCATCTTCATTGTATTCTATTATCTTAAATTCTTAATGAAATATTCAAATATAAGAATTTTAAACTCTTTGCATCTTTTATTCAAACACTCTTTTTATAAGATTTTTTTTTTGTTATATATTTTTACTTTAGTTATACAAAATTAAAAAAAAAAATATAAACCCGGCTCGGCCCGACCCCTTAGGCCCGGAACCGTTCCGGTTCAATTTTTGACCGGATGGGGCCGGACCCGTTAAGCCCGGTTTGTTAAACCCGGAACCCGGCCCGGATTGGTGACCAGCCGGTCACTATTTTTCCTGACCCGTCCCACCCGTTTGTCACCTTTAAGATGAAGTGAGCATTACTTTCTATGATAGTGACATTAACATGGTTCTGCTGCCATAATATCCAGATTCTCTCATTATCTACCTCAACATAATTATTAGCAAATGTCCATTCCTTTGCTACTCTAGCAATACTAGTAGCAAAGTTCCTCTCATTCACCTTAGTTTCCAACAAACCAGCAAACACAATATTAAATTTCTTAAGATATTTACACATCTCCCCTTATTTGTAAGGCTTATTCATTCCCCTCACATTCCACAATACACCATTCATTGAGCAGGTATTTGAGTTCCTCCCTCAGGAGGTCTACCAGCTCCCAATATCCCTACAATTCCTCCATCAAGTGGTGAGTAAGTATTCTGCAACCTAACAGGAGACTTACTAGCATCACAACTGTCTGTTGCACCACTGCAGTTACACATGATTTATGAATACCACCTGGAGTTGAAGTAGATCCAGTAGCAGTCATCTCCCCTATTAGTGGGCCCTGACTCATCTTCCCTTGTAGCATATGGAAATTGTAATCATTCTTGACTGGACTGCTTTCTGGAATGAGATTCTTATGTTGCTTCTCACGCATCCTAACAGGTGCCCATACCACCACTGTTTGGTGAGGTACATGTTGCCCTATATGTATCCCTTGTGGGTCTCCATTGCATATTCATCCCTGGTTTGTGACCCTTATTCTCGCCTCTTGCTTTGGAATTCTTCTTGTTCAAGTTCTCTAGTACATGCCCTTGCTGTTGAGTTTTGACCCTCTTTGGTTCCTCAGGGCAGACATGACCAAATTTCACACATTGTTTTGCAGAACAAAGGCTTCCAATCGTACTCAATGTTCTGAGAAAACACTCTGCCTGTTGGATCTGTGATGTCCAACACCTATGGCATGGGTTGAGTGACATCCATGTCAACTAGGACCCTCGCATAAGATATGCGAACCTGCTTTCGGGTACATTCATCCGCAAAAATAGGTTTCCCTAATCCACTTGTAATTTTGCTCAAGGTCTTAGCTCCCCAGCAGTTCAAAGGCAGGTTGGGCAATCTAGACCAAATAGGCATTGTACGAGGAAATTCATGTTGGAAATCAAATGTAGGGGTCCATATTTTAAGAATTAATGGTCTACTGCGCAAAGTGTATGGGACTGAATATAGTATCTCATTTCTATCATGAATATCTAAGAATTTAGCAATATAGAATTCTTCATCATGTAGATATAATTCTGTTGTGCTCACTTCATTCCAATTCTTAGATATGTAGTTACTCATAACTGTATATCTAGGTAACTCACCCATGGTATAGATCACTAGTGCATTATTCCATATCTCTGTTTGCTCTTTAATTTCCTCTTCCTCCAACACAATTGTAGGTTTTCCATTAATCACTTGGGGAGGGATAAAATTCAGAGCCATACCATTAGCAGCTACTCGATTTCGAGGGAACAATCCAACCCAATTTCGTGACAGGTCGTTCTCTGCCTCGTTTTCCTGTGGAATCGGGTCTGGTTCTTATTGATTTGGTATAGATTCCTGTGGGTTTCGAGCTTGTTGCACTGGGTTGACTGCTAATTTTGGAATCTTCACCAATTTCATAGGTGTTGCGACCTTATCCTTCACCACTTCCTCAGAAGGTTTCATTGAGAAAATGGAGTTTCAGCTGTCCCAGCCAAATCGAATTGAGTACCAGTGTTTGTCTTCCCTTCTGGTGTGTTCCGCTTCCCTGCCGTTTGAGATCCAGATGTCGCCGACTGAGTAAGATGAGTTATGGGACTCCTGTTCGCCGGAACCCTCAAACTTGCTGCCACACCTATTGTTTGCTTACACGAAGTATTGTTAATCACATTTCCCTTGGTTTGTTTGCCCATGGTGATTCTCGCGTTGCTTTCCGATTGATTCTGAGGTCTTCCCCGACCTCGCTTTGCCATGGAATAGGGTTTTCAGTGCACGTTATTAGCAAGAAGGCTAATGTACGCCTAAGCTCCCAACATAGCATTGAAAAATAAAATAGATATCAACAATATTTTCATTCATACTACAATTAAATTGTATGTTTTTTATTAGTATTAGTATTGATTTGATTTTGGTTTAGGATTTTTTTTGAGTTACATAAGCCCAAACTTGAAATAATACGTTAAAAGATAAAACTATGAAAAAGCTTAAGAAATATTTATAAACTACACTACAATAAATATTTTTATGTATTAAATATATTTAAAACTTTTATACATATAGTGTCGAGTTAGTTTGGTTTCAATTTGACTGCTTTTTTAGTTAAAACCAAATCAAACCAAACATGGTTGGGTGTTTTTTCCCAACACCAAACCAAATCAAACCAAACCAAATCATAGTCGAGTTTTTTTTTTCGGTTTGACTTGGATTATCGGGTTGGTATAATTTGTCGGTTTCATTTGCACACTCCTAACGACAGCCCTAACAGAGAAGGGGTATATTTAAGCCATTTGTGAAATGGTAAGGATATTTTTGTACCAAAAATATAACAAGGGTACAATTGATCGTTTTCGTATAGTAGAGGGACAAATTTGAACCATTTCATATGTTTTGTCCAAGTGACGCATATTCACATAAACATTAAATACCGACAACGTACAAAACCTATACTCAGATAATTTAACTATCTACATGTACCTGATAGAGTATTTTCACTATGCACAATTAAGGTAACGCATTATTAACTAGGTGTCTTTTAGAAAATTTTCAATTTCCCGACATTGCCGACATGAGTTGAACTGTCCATAAGGTATCGTCAAGATCTTTAAGTTTCATAAAATTCATTTCATAACACCAACTAATTAATAGATCTTATTTCACCTTCAAATAAAACAAGTGAGTAACCCTTTTTTTTTTTTTTTGCTAATTTAAACATTTATTCATTACTCATCAAACTCATGAGAAACTAGCTAGAACATCACTAGCTAGAACATCTTCTTTTAGGTCATTGTGCCATTTTTGAGGACTTTGAGATCAGCATAGTACGTTGTTATCCATCCTTCAATGATTTCAACCTCTCTGTTCCTTTGCATTGTTAACCAATCTGGATCTGTTGGCTGGCTAGTAAGAATGTCTAGACAATGGGAACCTACAAAAATAAATAAATAAAATCATGAAAAGAAATATGACGAAACAATAACATGCATGTTAGCAGGGCATATGTAGTGTGAGAATCACATGTTCAATTGAATTCATAACTTTTGACACGGAGTAAAAATTTATTAAAATTGCAAAAATAGTAGATATGAACCCATAACTTTTAAAATATAATGAGTTTAATGCTGAAAACCTTAAAAGTTGAACTTAAAGAGTTCAAATTCTCGATCTGCCTCTGCATGTTAGCTACCATTCTAATTGATGTTTGTATAGAGATTTACTTGTAGTTACTTAAAAAGCGATTCAATTGTGCAAATAGATTTATACCATCGATGTATAGAATTTAAACTTATAATTTATAGTTGATACGTTTGTAAAAAGAAATTCTAAATTCTAAAGAAAAAAATATTTTCTTATTAATGGCATACCGTTACGCGTCGTGACAGCTAGTAGACTATCTGATAGGTCCTGCAAAACCCTAAAACAGAAACACAAACAAAAAAAATGTAAGAGGATAAAAGTTTAACATATGTCACCATATAGAAAGAAGGAAAAGACTTTTGTCAAGTACGTACCCTGCACTACTATAAGGATCTCTTAGTCCATTGGAGAAAATGACGTTGCTAGCAAACCTATGAAGAATTAATTTTATGTCCTGCAAATTCACTCACGTAAGTTTAACATCCCGCGTTCTCGTAGACCTCCCGCGTTCTCGTAGAATTTGGAAAAGAATCGCACCTCAAAAGGGTGTGATGTAGACAGTCTATCACTGACACAAAGTTCAACATATGGTTGCTAACACAAAAACAATTTTATCGTCGCTCTAAATATTAATATCTAATACTCCCTCCGTTTCAATTTATATGAACCCATTTGACTGGACAAGAAATTTAAGAAAAAAGAGAAGATTTTTGAACTTGTGGTGTAAAATGAGGCACAAATATTTTGTGTGGCTATAAATCATTGCTTAAAGGTAAATTGTTTCTAAATAAGGAAAGAGGTCATTCTTTTTGGCACAGACTAAAAAGGAAATATGTTCACATAAATTAAAACGGAGGGAGTATATAAGAAAAAGTAAAATGACAAACCATACATAACAAGGAAAAGTTATAGAATGATGTAAATTAGAGTATGAAAAGAAGAATACATGTCCGCCATAATAAGTTGTGACCCAATGTGGACGAGGGGAGACACCATAGTCTCTCTTGCAGTCTTCTATGAACTCATCCAAACTAAAAGGAGCTGAATAGAACATTGTATCATTTTCGCCTCGTCCTATAGGCATCACCATCTCACTGCATGTCTACTAAAACAAAACTAGGTAGAATTAATTTCTAAATATTATATACTTCAAATATGGAAAGGGGAGCCTTGACATAACTAGTAAATTTACTGCTATGTGACCAGGTCATGTGTTCGAGTCGTGAAAACAGTCTCTAGCAGAAATGTAGAGTAAGACTATATACGATAGACGATTGTGGTCTAATTCTTTTTCGAACCCCCGTATAATGGGAGTTTAGTGCACCGAAATACCTTTTATATAATTCAAACATGGGATGATAATTCTGAAAAATGAAAAACTTCAGCAAACTGTGTTAGCTCAGTATAATTGGTGTACTTACTTGCCAATCCCATCCTAAGTCGGTTTGACCAGGAAGAATATTATAACAAGATTTATTCCCTTCATATGCAACAATTCCAGCAAAAATACGATCAAGAACATCACTTCCATTGGTTGCACCATCAATTCCTCCACAAATCACTGTCACTGGATACCTAGGGGGATCGTCATACTGAGCAGCAACGGCATATGTCGAATCCAAATATCCCTTCAAATCGGAAGAATTATTCAACGGCCTGAAATCCAAAAATCAATATTAAGGGTGTGTTTGGTATTAGGAAAATAATTTTCTAAAATGGTAGTACGGTGTACAAGGTATCCCGCGTCCACATATGGTCCTGCAAAGGGAAGCACCCCGATGGAGACTGATGTAGATATCCTATCCTAATGCAAGCATTAGTGACTGTTTTACACGGCTATCCAATGCTCTATAAAATTTAGAAACAATTTCAAATGGAATAATGGAGAAAAAAATATGCAAGAAAGTCTTTATCCATTTTAATGATAAATAATTTTTTGAAAAATATTTTCGCTTCATATAAAACACACCCAAAATTGAATATAAAGATTAGAAAAAGGCGAAACTGTTTTTTTGAAATATAAAAGGAAAGAAAAGATTACGAGCAAGTCTTGAATTTTTGACTGAGATAGGCGAGTCCATCTTTTGTAGAAGCAATCTTGTCAATTATGGACCATGAATCTCGTATAGTTTGGTAACAGCTCTCACTCGCTTCCTAAAATAATTATGGGATTCAACTTGTTAGTTTTAGAAAAGTGTTAAAAGTACGAAAAATATACGTAATGATTTACTTACTTTAAAATCCTTAGTGACAATCGAATAATATCCATTTTGAGGAGTAATGTCATCAAAATAAAGAATAGGAGCTGATGAAGCTAGAGCACCAAGAGCTATGTGAGGATACTTTAATCGAAACCACGAAGCCAACACTGCACATTTAAAAAAATAGAGTTTTAATATAATAAAGCTCAAACTTTACATTATTTAAAATTAAAAGACTAAAAAAAGGTAAGAAAAGAATTATTTTTCTTTCTTACTTCCTCCATAAGATCCTCCAATGACAATAATAGGAGAATTAGGTGCTGAGAATTGTTCTTTAACATGCAGCAGAAGTTCTGCGTAATCGGCTATTGCTTGTGCTGAATTGAAATAACCTCTTCTATCTTCATCTTTTAGAGCTTCTTCAATTTTCCCAAATGGTATTGATTGTCCGTAGTACCTATGCTGAAAAAACCAAAGCATAAGTTTAGCACATGAAAGCTTGACTCGTCCAACCCGTTCAAGTTGATGCAGCCATTTATTCGTTCAGCCTATTTTGACCAACCCAATTAAGAGCATTTAAAAGTCGGAATAATTGGATTAAATGTACAGTCCAAATTGATCCAATAAAAAACTTATCAATTTATTTATAAAAAAATACTTTTGGTTTAACATATTACATATAGTCAAAATAAAGGAAAAAAATATTAGTTTTATTTGATAATTAAACAAATTATAAATTAATAAACAAAGAAAGTACTAAAACTTGAAAAGAATTATACGGTTTGGGCTACGACCCTATTTTTAGCCCATCTCAATTCAAGTTATTTTTAAACGCATGACAATTTTTTAACTCCCGCAACCCCTAAATTAAGCTCAATGCGCCATTTGATACCCCTAACTTTCAAATACTTACTATTCACAATCAAGAAACATGAGGAAAAATATGACAATTGTGGTTTTAGTTGGTATAGTTGATGGATTAGTGAATTTACCTCCAAGTAAACGAGAAGAGCCTTAAAACGAGGGGCAAAATCAGTGAGAAATCCAATACTAAGAGGATCATTATCAATGGAAGATTCAGCACCAAGATAAGCAAAAATTGGAGAGCTTGAATTGGAACCACCCCAATACTTAGAATTAATTATGTATCTTTGCTTAAAAGTGGAATAACTTTTAGGTCCATAATTGAAGTGATCAAGTGTTTGTGTATAGAAATAAGTCTCAAACTCTTTTGGTAAAGTGGTAGAAGAATTAGAAAGGGTATTAAAATCTTTAAGGATGTTTTTAAGAAGTGGTGTAAGCCTTGGGATTTTATGGGGTTTTACAGAAATTGAGGTTTTTGAGAAGATCAATAAAAGAAGCAAAGGAAGCCATTGGAATAGGAAAATTCTATTCATCTTCATTGCAAATTAAAAGAATTTGGTAATGAATGTTTCTTTGTGATTCTATTGTGAATCTATTTATAAGTATTTTACTCTTCCACGTGAAGCGTGATTCACTCATTTATCTAATAAATTTCCTTTAATTTGCAATGTGAAGCACATAAATAACGATCTAAAGTATCAAAGTATTGATTGATAACATAAAATAAATGGTAACTAGCTTGATATAAGCAATCTAGTCATATTGAAAGTTTAAAAATGATGTAACATTGTCAAGGGATATAATTTGAATTTATTTAACTTTTTATGATTAGATTTTTATCATAGAGGAAGATTTTAATAGTAACACTACTTATGGTTAAGTGCATTCTAAAAATTAAAAAATAAATCCATTTTGCCAGAAGTGACCTGCCTTAACTGACTGGTTTTACAATATTTTAACTTTATTAGACACATAAGTACGCCACTCCAATTTGGAAGGGAATAAAAGAAGAATAACAAATTTTTATTAAAAGTAGCATTCCAAGTAAATACTTCCTCGGAAGGAAATCAAGGTTTCATGGTTTATATATAGTTAAGATCACTAGAATGAACTGGTTATAAGAATTTACCATTCTAATCATCACTTAACATATAGCAGGAATCTGTTATATAATTTATAAATACATACAATGCATACACAACATAAATTATGACAATATATGACAACTTTTGTGTAGTTCCCTTTAAATTTTATGTGGTCTTTAATACTCTTAAACTTGGCAATTTTATAGCCTCGACCTCCCCGACAATCCATGAAGTGTGATACACTCGCTGCCACACTTTTTTTTTGTCCATGTGACAATTTTTACGATAAAATATAAGAATATTACATAATTACCCATTGTGGTAGTCCTATTTTATCACTTGCACCTTTAAACTTTGCTGAGATAAGTATCTTTAATAAAATATGCAGATAATACATAATTACCCCGTGTCTTTGTTCTAAGTGGTATAAGTACCACCTTTTGAGCCCACGTGACATCTGAATTATTTTTCACAAAAATTATAGAGCGTGCAATAAAAAAAATGCCACAACTCTTTTTATTTTATCATTTTTACTTTTTTTTATTAATGTCCTTTTACTTTTTCTTTTATTTCTTCTTTTCACCTTTCATCTTAGTTTAACAAAAGAATACCCAACAGTCAAAGGCACTAACTAAAAAGCCATATTAACTGAAAAAGAAAATCCAATGTTGAAGACCGTCAAATTAGCACTAATCCAATGAAAGAAAAATGTCAAACAAGAATATATAAAACTGAGAAAGATACTTCAGTTTTAGTAAAAAAATAATAATTGAAAGTTGCCATTTTTTCCGGTGACTATCTCTGCGTAATTTTCCACCTCCGCCTTTTTCGGTTAAAAACTTTTTCGTTTCATCCTAAAACTCATCTCCCGTACATTTTTCTCTTCTTTCCTTTTTTCTTTTTCTTCTTTATTTCGCCCGAAAAAATGATGATTCCGGTGACACTTTAATCAACGGGGATATTTAATATAAAAGAAGGATGAAGAAATGGGTGGGGGGATGGGATGTAACGAGAAAAGGAAGAAGCCATAAATAGAAAATTTTGAAATTAAAAAACCAAACATAAGAGCTAATCAGTTGGGGACTAGGGAGTGCTGGGACGAAGAAGAAAACTTGGTTTTGTGTGTGTGNAAAAAGAAATTATATAGTGTAAAAAATACATGTCAAAATATGATTGGTGCATGTTGTTGAAACTCGTGTTAGTTACGTGAGGTATTATAATTCAAACAAAGGCGGGGTCATAGGACCCGCGCAAAGTATGAGAGTGCAACTGATAAAGTGGGACAACCCTAAATGGATAATTATGTATTATCCCTAAAATATATATTTTTATCTTTTTAAGTCCACCAACTATTTAAATTATTTTTTGTGCCAAAATCTATATAAAAAAACTTGAAACAACATTATTTTGACTATAATTTTTTGTTTGGATAAAGATAATAATATTTTAATCAAGTTACTTCTATATATTTGGTCAGAAAAAGATTGTATATAAAATAAATAAATAAAATACACCGTTGGAACTCCATATATTGGCTAAATAAAATTTTTAGCTAAGAATAGTAAAATTTCGACTAAATATTTGCGAATTTGACACGAAAAATACATAATTTAAATAAATAGTCATTGCATGAAATAAAAATATAAATACACAATATTTTTTTCTTTTTGTAAAAAATATATCATTTTAACTTCATTACTTTAGCAAAATCTTCTTTTTATTGGACTAAAATAAATGGAGTTTCAACTTCCTTTTGTAGATTTCTTTATTTGAATACATAGTTGAAACATACATTCATTGTATTTAAAAAAATACAATTGGAAAAAAATATGTAATGTATATTAAGAAAAAATGAGAAATACAATTGGAACAAATAAATCGTTATGTTTGATTATGTGGCAATTAATATTTGTAAAATACCCTATTTGGAAGCTAATCTTTCAATTTTTCTCCCGTCTCATGTCCCTAAAAGAGAGTATATTCACGCCTTTTGCCATATCAACATCTAAGAGGGTCATGACTATCAAATTTTCAAGTTCATGGTGAAATTAAAGACTGATCTCGTCCAATTTCACTCCTCTTTGAGGTTATGAAAACGGTCGATGCAATAGTAATACCCAAACAAGAGTCGGGGTCGAATTCCGCCGGGAGCTATATGAATGTGTGTTAGTAGTATATATCTTAGCGCGTTAGTTTGTATATCTAAATTTGCACTTCCACAATATTTGGTTTTGTTTGAAAATCTAAATTAAACTACGATTGCGATTCAAAGAATGAAATTAGGAAATTATTTTTGTTGTTTTTCAAATGATATAAAAGGCTTAGGGCTATGACCTTCACCTAGGTATTTGCCTAATGTGTTGTAAACTTTAAAGTTTGTTTTATTAGTCGGGGAGTATTATAGCTATCAACACTCAAGTACCCACTTAATACCTCTCGGTCAGAGAGTGATTTTGTCCAATTTGGCTTTCTCAAGTCCAAATGGGTATTGACCAAAATAGTTGATAAGAAGCTCAAGTTGAGTTTTACTATCTCTAGGTTCAACCCTTTAATTGGGCTTATCAATCTCTCGATTGACCCAATTTCTTGCTAGTCAAGTTTTTCTAGACTAAGTCTCTCTTTCTCAAGTAGAGACCAAGTCAAATAGGCATGAATTAATGTTTTCAACCATTAATTCTTCAAATAAAAATAAGAACAAGGCTAGATAATAAACACCCAACCACAAATAAGCAATAAATCAAACACCCATTAATTTTACATAGTAGGGTTGATTCACAACCCTAGTAAAAATTTAGCTACTCATGCTTAAACTAGAGGAAATAGGAGAAGAAATATAATTAAACTCATATTGGTAATTAAGATGACAAAATCTATGTTCAAATAATTCAAAATAGCCAAAACTACTAAAAAGAGTAATAGAAACCATCTACTGTAGCAGCTGATGTCAAAAGTTAACCTAAAAAAGTGAAACTCTTCTATTTATACAAAGCTAGAATTTTTGGACAAAAATACCCTTTCGGAGGTTTTGCGGCTGCACAATTCCATGCGCAGTCCGCACTTTTCTTCAGCTTGACGGAAGTGGAAATTTGCGGTCGTATAATTCTGGTGTGCGGCCGGACTGTTGTCTTTCTGCGGTCCGCACAATTCTGAGTGCGGCCGCACCTTGCTCTTTTGCGGTCCGCACAAATGTGAGTGCGGCCGCGTGTTTCTTCTTCTGCGGCCACACAATAATTGTGCGATCCGCACTTTAAGATGCAGGTTCTATGAACTTTTGCTCTAATCCAGCTTCTGCGGCCGCACAATTTATGTGCGGACCGCACTTTGCACATTTCTCTGATGGAGATTTCTTCACCGCAGATGATATTCTGCGGTCCGCACTTATGAGGTTTTGTGCCTGTTTTTGTCCTTGAGTTCAGATTACTCCTTCTTGAGTTGGATTTCATCTTGGGAGCTCATCTTCCAATATTCCTGCAATTAAACACATTTCATCAGCTTTCGAGAACATAATTAACCGCTTTTGGACTAAAACGAAAGCTAAAAGGCGCTAATAAATAGTTAAAATCCCCACTTATCAATTCCCTCAAACTTAAGCTTTTGCTTGTTCTCAAGCAAATAAAGTAGTTTCCACCTCCACAAGTTAAGAGCTATTCCAACTAATCAAAGGTGAATCAATCACAAATCAATTGGTACCAACAATTACCCACACCACTTATGAATTATTAACAAGGCAACAAGTTAAACTTTTAAGCACAAATATTTCTGATGCGACACTTGAGCATCAAGAGTTGACTTTATTCATCAACGAAGCTCGCTCTTTCATGTAGGTCATTGTGGATCCCAAACTCCTCCTCCTCTACTCTCCGTTTGCATATCTCACTTAAGATTTTAGCACTCAATCCACAGATTTGTGAGAAGTTCACTCATCTCTCTCAAACAAATATCGCAATTACGGCTTTAAGTACCATAGGCTTGCCTTTCATGTAAATCACCACTAATATAAACTCACTCGGCTTGAAATCACATAGGGCTTTTTCGGAATGCAATGAAGGCTTTTGGACAAAGGTTGGATATGCTATGATAGAATGGGTTCATCTTTCCTTAAGCACTTCATTTTATTTTATTGGCTCATGTCTTGCCAACTCTTTGAGGCATTTTATTTTCCTTAGGGGAACTAGAGAGACTTAACATCACTCTTCCTTGGTCATGATATTCATTTTTTTCTTCTTTGCTTTCTCCATGCTTTGCATCATTACTTTTCTTTGAATCTTTTCAACTTTTCAACTTATTCACTTTTTTTTTGTATTTTTTTCTTGCATTTCCTTCTCTTCATTTCTTTTCTCTTTTGTGCCTTGATACCTTTTTTTAAACTCCACGTCTCTCCCTCAAACTTACATTTTTAGCCAATTATTTCACAAGAGTGTTAAGGAAAGCTCGGGTGCCAAGAGAGGATCACG